ACCAGCAAAGAATTTTCTCCTGGGACTTTTCTCAGTGTGTCGCCCTCAGGGCATAATCATCTACTTAGTACCCTTGATACATAAATAACTATTTCGAGCATCAGACATATTCAACAACTTAAACCTAGAAATCTCCAAATTAAAATTTGCATCAAGATTGGTCCATTTCTGACCATTTCGCATGCTTTCTACAATTCTCTCTATACTGCTAACAAAATAAAAGTTAAAATTTGCTGCAATCTCCGAACAATCTCTGAGAGTTTTCCGATCATTATTAATGTTAAAGGTGATACCATTTGGGCCCTTAGAACTACCCGTGTCCAGGGTTGCCAACTCTCCGGTTTTGACTCGGAGTCTCCGGATTTTCAAGATAATTCTCCGGTCTCCGGATTACATGTATATTTCTCCGGGTAGAACTCGTAGGAAATATATAAAAACCAAGATAAAAACATAAAACATGTTTGCTGAAAAATGCATGCGACTTAAATGGCATGCCGGCATGGTAACGTGGTTACCTACCTCAAATTGCGCAATACAAGCTCTGTTCCAACCTACATGAGAACCGTTCTAGAACAGTAATTTGCAGTCGATCAATTTATTTGTCAAGTAGGATAAACGTTCAACTTATTGAAAGATAGGTGGACAACTGGTAATTACTGGTTCTGGAATGGTTCTCATGTCGGTTAGAACAGAGCTATAAATTCTTTCGCGAAATAACCCCAAATACTATTACTGGCAATGGCAAATACAGGCTGTGTTCTTTTTTTAACTGGCAGTACTGAATTTCCGCTGTGCGGTTTTTACTGTATTTGTCGTTTCTTTTTCAACCAGCCGGTGTATTACTGGTTGATTTTGGAACGAATTCCAGTAATTATTGACATTTGACCGGCGACAAAGCTGACCTAACCTAACAACATGATTATTTTATATTTTTCGTTTTTCTTTTTCAAGCTTTTCTTCATTAATAATTTAATAGTTGGTTATTATTACTGTAAATTATTATAGTAACTAGCTGACCCGACGAACTTCGTACCGCCTCTGAATGATTAAATATACCTATTAAATGTTGTGTTAACGTATCTATTAGCTGAATTAAATTCAGTTTTTTTCGATGGTGAATTTGGCTTTGGTTGAAGAAAATTAATGTTTACTCTCTGGATCAGAAGTCACCTAAAATTAAAATTTCACATCATGCTTTTTTAGGCAGCTTGTGGGCATTATTCTTGTAAAGTGTACCACCAAATAAATAAACTCAGGCACAGGAATGTTCAAATAATGTAAAGAAAACAAAAAAAAATCTATCTCTAGCGCAGCCCTGTTGCACTCTATCTGCACTGCACTACTCTATCTGTTCTACTCTTTTTGCACCACTCTATCTGATCGGAATAGTGGAATAGTTCTGTTCGAAATAGCTCCAGTTCCTGAGCAGCATTGTTCTACTGTATCTGCAATGCCGAGCTTTGTTCCAGGTATCAGAGATGGCGCGGTATACAAAATACAAAATACAAAATAAACTTGGTATCGGTTATAAGAGATGGCGCCGTATGCGGGCTTAGTAAATTTTTTTCATAAATAAATAAAATAAGTAATGAAATGACCACATTAATGACATAACAACATGCTGGTACTGTCAACGCTGAAAAAAAGTTTCAATTTGACAGCAAAATCCCCATTAACAAAATGATCCTCCATTTATTGAATAATTCATTTATTACAAAAAATGTTATAAATGAAGAACCGCTCGACCGATTTTGTGCCAACTTCACATAAACCATCTAATAAATAGTCCGAACAAAGCCTAAACATTTGGTTTGGCTAGGTGAGCCCGTTCTTGAGATATAAAATTACAACGAAAAGTGGCATTAATTTTTATATACAGTGTGTCCGTAAAGTAACGGATAAATTCAATATTTTCAAAAAGGTTGAATTTTTGAAAAATCGCTCAGACACGTCAATGATGTTTTTTTGTTTGAAATTTTTTGATATGTTTTTTATTATACAGAGTATCTCAAAAATAGCTCCGCTGCTATGAACTTGGTTTTTTCAAATGGATCAACCTGTATATTATGACATTTATGGATTCTGCGGGAAATTTCTGACATATTTCATGCACAATGTCATATACCTATCTTCAACTGTTTCGGAAATATTGACAGTTGAAAACTGATTTTTTGCAACTTTGACAGGCTATAAAACCTGAACGGTTAGTTTTAGAGGAAACCCGATTTTACATTCCTACTTAGATTTTCATAAACTATCATTTGACACCAACTTTGGAGTTAATCCGTGGTTAAAAATTCCGGTTAAATTTAATCTCCGAGTAAATTCAAAGTTGGTGTCAAATGAAAGGTTATGAAAATCTAAGATAGGACTGTAAAATCGGTTTTCCTCTAAAATTAACCGTTCAGGTTTTACAGCGTGTCAAAGTTGCAAAAAAATCAATTTTCAACTCTCAATATTTCCGAAGATAGGTATATGACATTGTGCATGAAATATGTCAGAAATTTCCCGCAGAATCCATAAATGTCATAATATACAATACAGGTTGATCCATTTGAAAAAATAAAGTTGATAGCAGCGGAGCTATTTTTGAGACACCCTGTATAATGAAAAATATATCAAAAAATTTCAAACAAAAAAACATCATTGACGTGTCTGAGCGATTTTTCAAAAATTCTACCGTTTTCAAAATAAGGAATTTATCCGTTACTTTACGGACACAGTGTATATAGATTTGTTAAATGTGACAAGAATTTCCATATACAGCTTTGCGGATGATAGTAACTTCTTGGCATCTTTCTCATCCGCCTCGCCCGAGAACAGATTCACTCTATCAACAGTGATCTTGACACCATTTCCAACTAGGGCCTTAACACCCTAGTCAAATTCGATGCTTCCAAAACTTTTCTTCCGCTAATGATAACCCAGTTTTAAGGATGTCGGAACAAAACCTTTCGAACAATCCCTCAGTATCTATATTCTATCGCTATTACCATGGGAGATGGTCTGACAATCTGGCCAGCCTCCATGTGTGGTAAGATGATTACCCCAAGGACCTCTTAATATAGGGCTTCTTTTTGGTGGCGTGCTGTCCATCTCTGGAACTCCTTGTCTCCTACTTCATTTCCTGAACGATTCAACCTCAACGTGTTCAAACGGAGGGTTAATCGTCACTAAGTTTCTTCCTTCCTTGGTACCGCTTTGTCTTGGAAGCCTACCAGTATAAGAAAAAAGAAGATTGCTATCAAAATTCTGTTCAAAAAGGTATACGAAAATATTGTAATCGTAACTAAATGGATCTAGGGATTAAATCACTTATCTAAACAAAATTTATCCCAAAAAATGGCTCATAAGGAAGGGAATAATCGGGGATAATATCATAAGTGCTTCTAACTTCTCCGGAAATTAATACCGCTGGTTGTTTTTCACGCGTGGCTTTTTTTGCTAAATAAACTGCTTGGAAACAAGTTTTCAAGATTTTCAAGCATCTTGCACGAATTAAAAGTTAAATTCACAGACAAACATAACACGAACACGTAACAATGTAAGGCTACTGCTGCCAGGAAAAAAGAACATGAGAATCGGTCCAAGCACGCGAACAGAATGAAACATGACACACATCCTCCTGTTGATTTTGGGGGCATAATAATTATCCCGCGATTTTGGATGTGGATCAAGCAGAATAATTCGACCCATATATAATAAGAGTTAAGGTGGGTTTATACAGCCACATAACATAACATAAGAAATAACATAACATAACATAAAAAGTTGACCTTATGGAAACCCCTCATGGGGTTTATACAGAAAATAACATAACATAAGAAATAGTTGGTTAACTTTTAACTTTTATAACTTATTTTATGTGAAAACGGATCTGCGCATGCTCCTCTCTTGATTTAGACATTATGTCAGGGAAGTAAACAATAGTTATTTACATTACAAGTGCGTTTATGAGCCTGATTACAATAACGAGTGTGAAGGATTAGAACGACGAGGTCGTAGACCGAGTCGTTCTAATCACACGAGTTTTGTAGTCATGTTTAAACGCACTCATAACCTCGTCCATAACACCACTAGTTGTGTTATGAATTCATAACCTAGTCTATAACACCACTAGTTGTGTTATGAGTCTCATGACGTAACTCAAATACTAGAAAAGTAGTTATGTAAAAACGTCATTACCAAACGCTTGTAGATAAAACATTTAAAACAAAACAAAATTATTTTGATTTTGGTTTCTGCTTTTGGTAATTTTTTGGAATTCGGTATTTATTATCGTGTTCTGCTGAATTATTAATTAATAAATTTTTTGATCAAATATAGTGTTTTCGGTAGAATTTACATAAGTACATGGACCAGCTGACTGGTTAGAAATTATTTCTTATGTTATGTTATTTGCTGTATAAACGCCACAAAATTCCTATTTATTATATGTTATGCTTTATTTTATCTTATTTCTTATGTGCTGTATAAACCCAAACGTCAAACTTAAGATGGTTTGTGAAAGAATGGAACGAACAATGGTGTGATCGAAAATCACATTGCCGATCGGTCAATTCTGAATTTAGAAATAAATATAAGACGCGCATACATTTTTTCTGGGTGGATATTTGATTAATAGGAGCTGTTTTCAGCTCGTGAAGAGGTTCTGAATCTAAAACAACTATGAAAGATAAGTATAAGAAAGATAAGGATAAGGATATGTATAACTATCAGTACATCGGTACAACTTTATTCCTCGTCCAATAAAGCAGTCCGTTGTGGTTCATAACTACAACGAACATATTATTGCTACTGTGTATATGCTCAGAATAACGATGACATAATATGAGAGGTGCAAAAAGTTAATCAAGCATCATTAAATTGAGCTACTTAGGATAATAGTTTAGTTTAAATATTTTTAAATCTATTGTTTGGTTATTTTTATTTATGCGTTAATTTTTTTTTTCCTTTCCTTCCTAAAGCAATATTGAAAAATCATATTTTCTTAATTGCAGCAAAGTATTTGGAAAAAATGAGACCTAAAGTTCATGCAACTTGCTTGAATGTACAATTGGACTATCCCTTAAATCAAGATGACGTTTGTGTGGGCTTTACAAATACGCAGTGTCCGATTGTGGAAAAAGAGAAAGTTAATTATAAATATAATTTGAATATAGGGACAATATTTCCAGAGGTAATTGATATGGCTTGACGATTAGCAATTTTTTTTTTTGTAATATTTTTAGGTAACGGTCACTCTAAGATTTTCATTCATAGACGAGGACACGGCCCCGAACACCGAAGTTTTGTGTTTTGAGTTCGATATAATTATTAAGAAAACTGAGTGTCCGGCTTGAAAATGAGAGCTGAAAGCTGGATACTTTACACTGTGATTTACAAAGCCCGTGCATTAGAAGTTTTCCAGATTGCACATACCTATAATATATACATGCCTTTTTTATTTTTTTTATTATTGTGCTTATTGCTTATTTATTAAAATATATGAAGGTATAACGGGTCTTTCCCACTCAACTGAATATAAGTATTTCATCCATATGGTTTGGAAGCTTATCCGATAAAATACTTGAAGGACTATGTGGTTGATTTTTGAAAAAATTATTGAAGGAGATATTAAAGGGGAAAATATGGCAATATTTGAAATAGTCCGCCTGATTTTGCACCAATCAGAATGCGCTTAGTGGCCCTATTTACCGGCCGAAGCTGTTCCCTATCGAATTTTCTTCTCTCTAGTTGAATGAAGAGGATAGAAAAGCAAAAAAATATCCACATAAATGCGGTGTATCGATCGCTATTCCAGCGTTTTTTTTATATCATTGTTTTTGTATTATTCTCAAGAATTTTCAAAAATTAACCTTTTAACTTCTGTGACCCTTTTACTTTCTGATATTATCAAGGATACCCTACAGACCAAAAAGACACACAACAAACGTTTGCATAAATATTTTTAAAAAAAGTTACAGAAGTTAAATGATTTATTTTTGGAAATTCTTGAGAACAGAACGATGAAAAAAAAATGGAGCTTAAGGCCACAATTGCATTAATAAGATATCTTCGAAATGGGCCTATCTATACGCCCACCAAGTCTGGCTAACCCTCTGCCAAACACCCTGTATAATATAGTAATAATGTAGGCAAAAGGTTAATCTCCTATATATTACCAACATTGGCTACAAATTGCCAATATTAGACCCATACACCACAATATTTTACCAATATAGAATCCATATTGGGCTAATGGATAAATATATCACTGTTATATTAGAAAAATTTGTTTCGCCATTATATATCCAATATTGGCTCAATAATGCAAATAAAAACATTTTCTGTGCATATTGGTCCATTGATGGATACATTACTATGGTAATATTAGAAAAAGTTGTATTGCCAATAATCAACCAATTTTGTCTAAATAATGTCAATATAGATATTTTTTGTGTATATTAGCCCATTCTTATGTAAATATAATATTACAATGTGGAAAAATATGTATTGCCAATATTGGCTCAATAATGCAAAAAAAACAATTTTTGTGTGCTTATCGGTTCAATAATGGATATTACTGTTAAATAAGAAAAATTTGTATTGCCAATATGTAACCAATCTTGGCTATATGCTGCCGATAAAAATATGGTTTGTGCATATTGGCCCATTCTTGGATAAATATAATATTTTAATGATGAAAGAAGTTGTATTGCCAATAAATGTCCAATGTTGGCTAGAAAATGCCAATATTGGGCCAACATACAATATTGGTCCAATGTATCCGCAACATGGGACCAACATTGTGTGCTACTGGGGTAATGAATTCTAACCTACAACCTACACCTTTACCTTTCGCACAGCTTTTGTTTACCTGTGCAGATCTTACCTTTAATTTCCCAAAATCTGGTACTGAAAGGGCCTCGAAAAAAGGTACTTTTTGTAAATAAAACATTTTAGATTTATGCTGTTTATTGTACTCTTGGGTTTGTTGTGATAAAATCGAGGTTCAAATTGAAAGCTGTGGAACAGGGATTCGAGAAAGCCGATTTTGCAAGTTTACCCCAAGTGATCATGGAAATGGTGTCGGAATGGAATATTTAATTTCCAATGCAATCTACTTCAGTACAGAAATAAGAAATGTGAATTTAAAAAGGTTAGATTTATTTTGCCATATTTTTTACCAAAACTGCCTTTTAGAGATACCTAATAAAAATTGTAGATTTATCTGAACATAATTATAATAAGCAACAAACAAGCATTAATTCCAAAGTAGGTTAGGTACCCACATAACAGTGAAAGAACATTCATATTCTCAGAATATTCCCTCAAAGTACTTTTTGGAATGTTCTTTTAGGAATGTTCAATGAATATTCTAAGATTGTTTCGATTGAAATATTCATTTTTGAACGTTCTATTTATGTACTAGGAATGTTGCTTCTATGCACCTACCTGAAAGATTGTGCTAAGAACCTACTTTATATAACATTATTTGAATATTCTTGTTGATTTGTTCGATTGTGGACTGTATTTCTATTTTGCTGGGTTTTGAAATACTTTTTTATGTATGATTTTGCTATAGATTAACAAGAAAAATAGGAGACGTTTTTTATTACGTGTTTATTCTACCATAATACAAATGCAAGTCCTCAATTACAAGTGAATACAAGACAGTAACAAGAACAAGTTAAAGCAAAGATGTCTGTCTCTTTTTCGCCCGGCTAAACCGTTATTCTCACTCCCTTTTTGTTGATCGGGTGCCATCACATTTGAACTGGATGGGTTTTGACAGGGTGCACAGCGTTGCCGGTTTGAATTATTATTTGAATTATATTTATTGAGTCATGACAAAACTAACATACCCCCGGCTTTGAAAGTAGGTACTTTCAACAGTCAACAAACAAAATGAAAAGTACAAATGGCGATTAAGAACACTCGCGCACATGCTGGTTCACTTAAATTTTTCTCGAGCAAATTTGGATCGGCAACAGAAGTCAATGGGCGTCCGATGAGAAAGTGAGCGGGACACAATGGACTAAAATCGGATGGGTCTGATGATAGGGGTGAAATTGGCCGGGAATTAAGGACGGCCTCGATTTGTGCTAACAATGTATTAAACTGTTCGAAGGTTAGTTTTACGTTCCCGGCAATGCGTTTGAGGTGATGTTTGGTGGATTTAACTCCAGCCTCCCAAAGGCCCCCAAAATGTGGTGAATGAGATGGTATGAATGACCATGCAATGCCTTCGTTTTCTATGGTGCCCGCCAAATCAGATGCATTAACTTCTAAAAATTGACCTAAAGGTTTTAAATCTGAACTAGCAGCAACAAAATTGGTACCATTGTCTGAGTACATCTGATATGGCTTTCCACGTCTAGCAATAAATCTTCGCAAGGCAGCCATAAAAGAATTCTTCGAGAGGTCGGATACTAGTTCCAGATGGATAGAACGAGTAGCAAAGCAAATAAAAAGTGAAACATAACCTTTGGTAATTCTACAGCCGCGACCATTTCGATCTTTGATGGGGAAAGGCCCACAATAATCGACACCTGTTGTGTAAAATGGCGGAGCAGGACTTATTCGACTCTTTGGTAGGTTTCCCATAAGTGGGGTTATTATTTTTGGTCTAGCCCGAAAACATTTAATACAGTTGTTTACCGTCTTTTTGGCTAGATTACGAGCAGCTAAAGGCCAAAATTTTTCACGAATATGGTATAAAATTTGTTGGGGTCCTGCATGTAACAGGCTGACATGTTCCCGCTTGAAAATAAGTTTGGTCAATATATGTTTTGATGACAATAAAAAAGGGTGTTTTTTATGGTATGGTAGTGCCGAGTGTTTTAGCCTACCGCCGACTCTAATCATTCCATTATTGTCCAAAAATGTTGATAGCTTTGCTAACGGACCTTTGTTAAGTTTAGTTGGATCTTTGGACAAAAGACTTATTTCGTTGGGAAATGATTCAATTTGTGACATTTTTAGTAACCGTAATGAGGCCCTTTTGGTTTCGCTGTAAAGCAATGGACCCAAAAATCTATCAGATGCCCTTTTTAGGCAATTTTCCTTGAATCTCAAACAATAAGCAACAATACGTTCCAGTTTAGATAAATAAGAGTACCTTTCGAAAAGAGATAGATTCGTGGTAGAAGTCTCAACATGAGTATAAACGTTTTTACGAAATTCTGGGAGCTCTACGTGAAGGGAAGGTAAAGTTGGCCAATGAAATTCGTCATGCTTTAGCCAATCGGGTCCGTGCCAATAGATGTTGAGAGAAGCCAAATCCTTAGGCATGACTCCGCGAGAAACGTGGTCTGCAGGATTTTCTGATGTTGGCACATGTCGCCAGTTATCTGTATTAACCAACTCTTGAATCCTTGCCACTCGATTTGCTACAAAGGGTTGTAAAAGGTTAGGTTCGATTTTGAGCCAGCCCAGAACCACGGTAGAATCTGACCAGTAAACTATGCGATTTATACAAACATCTATGGAGGACTTGACCTTTTCAATTAATTGTACAAGTAAGACAGCAGCCATGAGCTCTAATCGAGGAACTGTTTGTGTCTTCAATGGAGCGACCTTAGATTTTGAGCAGATCAAACTAATTTCAAAATCACCGTCATCGCCCTTACACCTAGCATAAACACATGCTCCAAAGGCTCGTGTGGACGCATCCGCGAAGCCATGTATTTCGATGCTGTTTGAATCCGAGCACGTGATCTGGCGATCTATTTTGAGATTATTCAAGCATTTTAACTCACTGCGAAATCGTAACCATTGACTATGCAAGTAGTTTGGAACACTTTCGTCCCAAGATAGTTTTTCCGACCACAGTTCCTGTAGGATCATTTTAGCGATTATAATCGAAGGACTCAAAAGACCCAAAGGGTCAAATATTTGCGAAATTTCAGATAAGATTGACCCTTTGGTAATTTGCTTCACAATAGAATCATTGATATTGTAGGTCAAGCTATCAGTTTGTGCACTCCAAACCAAACCTAAAGTTTTTGTATTTTCGTGTATGCCAAAGTCGATTGAATTAACCTTATCATTTGATTCGATATGATCTAAAACCTCGGGTGAATTGGAAATCCATTTTCGTAACCTGAAACCACTCCTTTCTAAGTATCGAGAAACTTCGTTAGCTATAAGAATTGCGTCATTTATGGAATTGGCTCCACTAAGAAAATCGTCCACGTAAAAATGTTTTTTAATGATTTCGGAAATAACTGGAGACTCTTCGGCACAATCTAGACCTACTTGGTAAAGGCATCTTATGGCTAAAAAGGCAGCTGATGAAGTGCCATATGTGACAGTTGCTAATTCATAAATATCAATTGGGTCAGCAGGAGTTTCACGCCATAAAATACGCTGTAATGCTCGTTGTTCCGGAACTATAAGAACCATCCTGTACATCTTTTCTACATCTCCCGCGATTACATAGTTATATTTTCTGAAACGAATAAGTGCTGAGAACAAGTCAGGCTGCAATGTTGCACCCACCATCTGTAGGTCATTAAGAGAATAGCCGGAGCTAGTT